AATTGTGCACATCAACTGAATTTCACACATTAACTGTTTTATACACCCCCCACAAATACAGCTGTGTGTAATAAACAGACCTTAATTAACCATGTGGCTTGAGTAAACTTCATAAACAAAGACTGTTATTCCCAAATTTACCCAATAATAAGTCTTAGCACACTTCTGAAGAGAGTACTGTTGGCACAGCTGCTAAATTCTGCATCTCTGTTTAAGTGCAGAGAGAGGGATTTGAGGCTGAAGTACAAAAGTATTCTTGTGTATTTGTTTAGTTTTAAAGATGCTAGTGCAAACTGTAGTTCAGCCTTTCTCTGTCACACTCCTATGCCAAAGTTTACTTACTGGAATTTAACTTTCCTTTTGCAGCATCTCACTGAGGCTGCAGCTGTGACATGGTATCTTAGATGAGGGATCTCATCCTGTACATGCAATTTGCACTCAAATCTATTCAGGTTGAGAGAGAAAAGTGATGGGGTGATGGTTGTTGCAGGATTCTGGACTTTCTTAAGAGTCCTTGTGTAAAAAGAGAATGACTGTGGCTTCAGGCAATGAATGGAACATGAGAATCTCAGTGCACATGTAAAGAAAAGTCAGGCGTTCACAGAACATGATTTGTGCATACTTCCACTGTAACTTGTGAACAGAGTTACTATCTGTCTTCCAAGCCTTTGTCTGCTTTCCCCCACTCACCATTTTCCCCCACTCACCTAGCTGCTGCTGCTGCTGTGATTGCCTAAGCCAAGGCTTCTTTTTTCTTTGGGAATGAGTGAAATGAAAGACAAGGATTTATTTAAAACACTTCTGTGCTGCCTTTCCACCCAAATAGGGTTTCCAATGCAGCAAACATCAAGACATCAAAACAGTGCCCTGACCTAGATAGCCCAGGCAAGCCCAGTCTCGTCAGATCTTGGAAGCTAAGCAGGGCCAACCCTGGCAAGTAATTGGAAGGGAGACCTCTGAGGAATACTAGGGCTTGGAATGCAGAGGCAGGCTGTCAAGTCACCTCTCTGAAACGTTGAAGCCCCATTAGGGGTTGCCAGAAATCACCATGACTTCCAGGCATGCAAGCACACACACACACACATGCACACGCACAAAACCCATCCCCAAAAAGAGAGAGATCAAAACATTTTGGCATTAAATTAGTGTTTCAAATTAGCTGTGTACAAAGTAATTCAATAGAAATCTATAAATACACAACACAAAAAACAGCAACGGATTTTATATGCACGATCACACAGTCAACATCTGCCTCCCTTCCCCAGCCATTGGTTTCTGGCTCAAAACCGCTTTAAACTGGAGTATTTTGTTACCAGGTCCCAAAGTGGTGTTTTCTCAGCTCTCCCGTTCAAAGCCACATTTTCGCCCTGTGTGATCGCTCCTCCGGTGTCAAGCCACTTCCGGTTTAAACCCCCTCCCTGCTCGAAAGCTGCCTGAGGCTTCCACTTTTTGCCCGCCATTTTTTTTTAGCGTTGGTGGTGCACGCATAGGTGGAGCTCCGCTACCATGTTTAGAAAACTGACATTTAAATGGTAACTTGTTTTAGAGTTTAGATGAGTTCGGGATCTCATGGAGGCCATTTTCGGGTCAAACGTTTAAAGGGAAGTCTTTTGTTGGAGGGGTTGGATTGATTCACCCTGGTGGTTCTGTGCATGCGCCATGGTAGTTTCGCCCCCCCCATTCTATGGATGAGTGCCTATGCGCAAACTGAGAAAAAATTAAAAAACCCACCGACACACGCTCCCGCGCGTTGGTAGTGTAGACACCGGGGAGCGACGCGACTGTGCAGTGAGTCAGGATAAGGGAGGTAAGTGTGATCGCGATTATCCAGATCAAATATAATCTGGTTAGAACCGGAGTAGTTTAACCCGCTCTCAGCATGCCGTCTGACCACACCCACTGAGAGACAGATGAATCTCCCTAGGAAGGAAGTTCCGAAGTTTTGGTGCTACTACTGTGAAAACTTTTTCTTTGGTTGCCACCCATCTAGCCTCAGATGGCTGAGGCACCCAAAACAGGCCTTCTGAAGATGATCATAGTGAACACTCACTTCATAGGGGAGCAGGTGGTCCATATTCAATATGTTTAGCATAATTTTTATGTAAGAAACTCTACAACAGTAGACTTATACAATATTTTCAATATTATTTAATAATACACATAATGCATTATTAAATAGTTTGATGTTTTCAGTGCTCTAAAGATTAATCTAATATCCAAATATGCTGTTATCTATACTCGGTCCCTCATCAACTGTGAACAGGAAGACGAGTGGTGGTGGCAATTTTCATCCAAAAATCTTTCTCTTTTGAGCGGCTTCCCGCACCAGACATTGCCAGCATTGAATGTGTAGGCCTGGCATGGAGTTGCAGGGAGAGGATGGGGGTCTTGCTGGATAATCGCCCACCCAGCTTGCAAACTGGCTCCCTGCTGAGGTTGGCTGAGGTGGTGGTGGAGTGGCCTTCGCATTTCCCCAAACTGATAGTTTTTGGCAATTTCAGTGTCCATGCCGACACTGCCTTGTCTGGTGCCTCCTTAGACTTTATGGCCCTTTTCAGACTATCTATTCTGTTTTAGTAAGTGGATTTTTCCTGTCATTTCAGACAGACCCGTTTCAGTAACTGGCTGCTTGTGTAATTTATTTACCTGTTCAGATAAACCCGCTTGTGTTGTGTCCTGTTGTTGAAATGTACCTGAGCTGTTGTTGATGTAAACTGCTTCCTTCCATTTTAACATCTCTCTTTGCGCTTCTGATTCTCCAGTGTGCTGTTTGAAAGGCCCATAGCCCTTCCTCTAATGCCCCCCCCCCCCCCCCCGGGCCATTTTCATTGCCTTGGAGGGTTTTTGAAAATATTCTTATGCGAGTGTTAAACCAATCTCGCACTTTGGTGTCGTAGGGGTACCATAGAGATGCCTGGACTCTTGTTTGCTTTGTCTCTCTTCCTTGGAATGCATGGGGAATCTGTAAACATCCTTACATGCAGATTTACATGAGAGTAGCCCCATTGGCTTCAGTACAGTTATTCATGTCACTCACGGGATGCTCTCAAACAGCAGCTCTGAAACAGAAACCGTTTTTTTCTGCTAACAGTTTGCATGGGGGAAAGTATCAATTTGTGGGAGGTTGGGGAGATGTTATCTTTCCGTTTTAAGGACTTAAATGAAAACTTATCTTGCATTTACAGCTCAGTATTTTCAGGTTCTCTTGCATTTTTGTGTGTGCGCTCTCTCATTGCAACCCAGGTCTGATAACGATCCAGTGTGTTGGAAGGGTTGCCAGGTCCTTCCTGGCTAAAGTGGGGGTGGGGTGGGGAGTAGGGCTGCCAGCTCCAGGCAGGGGAAACTTCTGGAGATTTGGAGATGGAGCCTGGGGAGGACAGGGACCTCAGTGGGGTACAATGCCATACAGTCCACCTTCCAAAGCATCCATTTTCTCCAGGGGAAGTGATCTCTCTAGTCTGGTTAATAACCCCCCCCCCCACTTTAGCCAAAGTCCATGCCCAGGAAGCCCTGCACACACTTTTGGGGCAGATAGTCAGCCCATGTTTTCTCAGAAGCAGGGTTGCCTGGGTTTTTTAATTTTTCCAGCTTGACCCAAATCTCCCTGAATTAGGGATGCCAGCCTCCAGGGGAGACCTGGGGATCCTTCAGAATGACAGCACAGCTCCAGTCCACTTTCCAAAGCATGTGTTTTATCAAGGAGGACTTTTCTCTGTAAACTGGTTAATATCCACTCACCACTTTAACCTGTGCTGTAGTTCTGAGAGATCCCCAAGTCCCACCTGGACGCTGGCAAAACCTGGAAAAAGTTAAAAATCCAGGCAGCCTTGCTTCTAAGTGGTGGGTGTTAATTGAGATTGCTTGAGATGCCACTTATCTGAAGCCACTTCCCAGAGTTTTATGATAATTTATGATAATTTTATGATAATTCTGTTTTGATAGCCAATGTTATCAGGGCAGTGTTAGTACCCTCTTTAGTAACGTGTCTTTCTACATTTGTTTTCCTTATAATGGAACAAATAAATGTTAAAAATAATACCTCTTATTGGCATATCTGGCTCCTATAACTTAAGGGACTAATAGTTTTCTGGATTGTATAAGATTAGGATCATAGAAGAAGAAGAAGAGATTATATTTATACCCCGCCCTTCACTACCCAAAGGTGTCTCAGAGCTGCTTACAAACTGTTTTCCTTTCCCCTCTCCTCCCCACAACAGACACCCTGTGAGGTAGGTGGGGCTGAGAGAGCTCTTGACAGAAACTGCTCTTGAAAAAGCAGCTCTTATCAGAACTACGACTTGCCCAAGGCCATCCAGCAGGTGCAAGTGGAGGAGTGGGGAATCAAACCCAGTTCTCTCGGATTAGAGTCTTAACCACTTAACCACTACACCAAATTGGCTCTCATAGAGTTGGAAGTGACCTCCAGGGTCATCTAGTCCATCCCCCTGCACAGTGCAGGAAATACACAAATACGTCCTCCTCCACACACCCAGTGACCACTGTTCTGTGCCCAGAAGATGACAAAAACCCTCCAGCATCTCCAGCCAAACTGGCCTGGAGAAAAATTGCTTCCTGACCCCAAAGTGGCGATCAGCATTTCCCTGGATGTGTAAGAAAGGGCCACATGATTGGCGGATCATCCTTCCCTGCATTTGGTCCCTTTATAATTTTGATTCAATTTAAAACCACATTAGGTTCCTGGAAGAACTAAAAACTGAAGATGTAACTTTCTCTCTCTTGGTTTCTTCTGTGTTTCTCTGTTTGTGTGTGTGAGGGGGGGGGGAGAAATATGTCAGATTAAATGAAGAGCAACATATCATGTGTAATTATTATTTAAAAATGGATTCTGTGACCCTTGCGGCACTTTTTCTTTAGAAGATGTAATTGTGTTAAAAAGCTGTATGGATAGTGCACGTTCTAAATCTGTCGAACCACCCACATTTGGCTTCAAAGAAGGTTTTACGAAGAATCTTTCTTAACTTTGACTTTTCTTTATTTAGGCGTCTGAACAGAAATAAACTTCAAGTTCTTCCAGAGCTCCTTTTCCAGAACACACTGAAGCTAACCAGACTGTAAGTATAGTTTTTATTTTTGGCGTAGCATATGTGCTTTGTTTGGTTCTCAAGTCAGTAATTTCGGCTGTGAGGTTTGGGTATGATGCTTTCCTCAAGTGGAGTTTGAGATGCATCTTGATTTATCGTACTAGCTCTGTGTTGAACAATAAATATGAGAAATGTTTTTCTTGTCGTCTTACCAGCGAGTGTAAAGTTATTGAGGACCTGAAGGAGTAAAGAAGGAAGAGCTTACAACTCGGTGTGTTTCCTATGGGAGGAACTTGAATTAGTGTCCATAAAGGCACTCTTTGGTATGGCTGAGCTGTGTTGGCTGCTTTGGACAAAATCCTAGTTCAGATAATATATTTCTTTTGTCTCTTGATGTCTGAAGAAAAGTTTGGATGTTTGCCATTTTCTCATGGATCTTTTAGTAACTTTTAGATAGTTGTGAACTTGAACTTAAATTGGCTTAGTAACTGTTAGATAGCTGTGAACTTGAACTTAAAGTAGGCTTGGTTGTGCCATTGAACCAGGCAATATCTTTAGATCCATGAAATACATAGTTAGGATGACTGGATCATGTTTGTATGAGGGCAACATACTTTGAATCCTGTGCAGAGTTGCTCCAGTCTAAGCTGACTAAAATTAATTACTTTAGAAACCACAGAAAATAGGAATAGGATTGCACAGTTAAAGCCCTTTATAACTTCTGCATAGTAAAAGAATTCAGTCATATTGCATATCTCTTGCAAATGTTTTCTCCCAATTTTTAAAAATGTCAGCTATTATAAATACCTACATAGGACATGTTGTCAGGTTTTACTCTCAATGTTCTTTTGCAATCAGACAGTCCTTGATACACTGTAAGAAATTAAATTAAAATGTTTTTGATAACCTGAAAGCCAAGGTCCCTAGCTCTGTGGATCTGTCAGGATTACCCTTTCTTTTCCCTGCTGAGTAGGAAAAATGTTCCAGGGTGAGAAGTACTCTGACACTTCTGCACATTTCATACAAGTAGGTAACTTCATATTTGCAAACAATGCACAGTTAGTTTTGTAAGCTAATATTTTACATGCACAGGAATGAGGAGTCAAGAGTTCAAACATTGTCCTGTCTCTTGTCAAAAAGGTTACTTGGATCTCTGCAGAAATGCGATCATCATGGATGTGCTATAATCTGTCCTTTCAGTGGTGCTTTAATTGAGGCCTTCAGCTTTCCACATGAAGCTGAATGCAAACATGGTGTTGTGCTCTTGATAAACTGTCAAAAAAAACCCCAACATCATAAAGAGCCATGCAGGAGCAGGGTTGCATCCTTTGACTGTGTAAATAAAATAGTCCAAGGAAACATTGCTCAAAGTTTTGATAATTGGACAGCTCCCAGAAAGTCAAAGTTAAAAGGAAATACGCAATCAAACTGCAGTACCCTTCAATTACAGAATATGCCTGCAACTTCTATAATTATTTACGTGCTCCTTTGTGACATCTGTTTGACATTACTGGTAAGGAATATACAGGAGAATCAACCTTAGAATGGAATGTGAAGCATTCAGTTAAATGAGTTTAATGCATACATTATTTTAGCCATGTCTGCCAGGAGGAGGAGTCTTGAGTTCATGCGTTTCATGTTTGCTTTTGCTTTTGAGGTCATTTTATTGAGGTTTTATGATGCATTACTTATAGAACAATATTCTCCCCTCCTAATATAAAAGGGAAAAGCAAAATGGGTCAAGGGGGAATGACAAAGCAAACAGAGAAAAGGGGGTAGAGGCTTTCCTGTCATATCCAGAGCATTTTCGCAAGCTCTTCCCAAGGATACTATTTAAATTACTGGCCTCCAGGAAGCATGACCAGGTTTTTTCCTGGGTATCGGTTTGTGGAGATCACAGATTTGTTTTCTTGATTCTAAAAGCCTGAATTTAGGTAGTTGCAGCCAAATCACTTTTCATTCATACCACTGTTAGAAAGTGCTTTTTAAAATAAGCATTGAAATTATCTGATCACTGTGTATGTAAGGAAGAAATTACTTGGCTAGTCTGTATGTGCTGGTAAGCCAGGTGACCAAAACAAAGTCAATATATTAAAGTTTCCATTTAGCTAATGAATAACATGCTTCATGTATATTCAGACAATTGTGACTTACCTCTTAGCCTGTGAGCCCTGCAGATACTCATAGACTGCCATGCAGATATAATGAGTTCACTTCCTAGATAGAATCCAACATGAGCATGCTAGTTTGTTTTTGCATTATAGGGTGAAGGGACAGAGGATTTGGCAATCAGCAGAGTTCTCAATTACTATTTTATTGGAAGTGGCTGCACCCAGGGTGTCAGCCAGTGCTGCCTGTATCTCATTACTGTACAAGCTGGCAGGATCTCTTTATGGGATTTATCATGCACTTGCACTGGAACCTGTTCCAGTGGCAGCAAGAACTTCAGAGAGTATGGGTTAAGAACACCTTACTGGGCATCCTAAAAGTTTGGTAGAGTAGCACCAGATCAACTGTGTCAATACCATGTTCCACATTGGTTTCAAGCAGGTTATAATGCCTTGATTCCAAATTGCAAAGGGCTGGTTACAGATCTTCATCATGGTCTCTGTGCATCACACCCAAGGGATCCAGTGCGCCTGCGCTGTTCCGATCAGTGTTGTGCAAAGCTCACATCGGGATTTTCGCGCTTCCACCCTGGAACCCCACTGCGCAAGTCTGAGGGAACCCCACTGTGCAAGCCTGAGGGATGGGGCACGAACATCCCGCCAGTTCTCTTCTGACCGCCGTGCTGTTAACAGCTCGTCTGCCGGTTGGTGTTCCTCAAACATACCTCACGTTGGGAAACCATCGGTGTTTTTCTTCAGACTTTCCCTTTCTTGCTTGCTTGTCCTCTTCTTCCTTCTTAAAAAAAAAAGGACTCTTTTTAGAACTTTTTCTCTGGGCTTCGGTTGTCCCCCCCCCCCCCGTGGGTCTGTTTATGGCTATGCTGTTGTTTATGGCTAAAAAGTGGGGCTGTTTTAAGAGGTGTGCCAAGTGCGGGAGCAAACTTGCCCCACCAGACAGCTACTCTCTTTGTATTTTGTTCTTGGGTGAATCTCATTGATCTGAGGGCTGCCCACACTGCGCAAAATTTTCTAATCAAACCAGAAAGAATAGAGCTGCACGGCTGCGGGTAGCTTTGTGGGAATCCGCCCTTTTCCCTCCTCCTGTGAAATCGATGGACTCGGACGCTTCGTCCAGACCTTCAATGGCGTCAGCTCTTCCATTGAAAACACCTGTACCTTCAACATAGAAATTGGCGTCTGACTCCGGACCATCCACTTCGAAGCAGTCAGTGTTGAAAACTTGATCTTCTGCATCGACGCCTGCAAAGAAGAAGGAGAAGTCAGATAAGAGCCATTGGAGCTCTTCCAAGGGCACGCACAAGTCTCGCTATACAAGCACAACTGCCGACACGTCGGGCGCTGTACGGCTTGTGCAACTTGTTGTCTCTCACTCTTCCACATCGGAACTGTCGCCACCTCCACCTGCTCCACCCATTGAACTTTTGGACTCTCCTATCAGGCAGTTGAACTCTTTGATGTCAGAAATGCTGCTGGACACCAGACCCTTCTCCATATCGACCTCTGACGTAGATGAGGTTTTGGTAATGAGATCACCAAGGAGACAGCGTTCCTTTTCGGGGTCCTCGTGGGCAAGTGACCAGTCTGAACCTCGTCCTAGGGGTGAATTCCGCAGTCATCGATCCAGATCACTAGTCAGTGCTGATGATTGCTGTGGAAGGCAGCTGAGCCCTGATTGTGGTCCTTCTAGGCAGAGGTATCATTGCTCTCCGAGAGGGGAGTCGCCGGGGGAGTCACCATCTTGGCGCTTTTGCCAGCCAGCTCCTCCGTTTGTCCCTTGGGACCATCGACAAATGCCCTACTGGTTTGGTGCCTATCCGCTATCGACATTGATGCTGTGGCTTACACCTGCCAGACTGTCGGACTGGGACCTAAGATCACCCAGGCGCTCTCGCTCTCCCAGAGCACATCTGAGCCCGCCATCGGCTTCTCTACATAGAAACCACTGGCCTCTCCACCTAGACATCTGTCTCCACCTAGACATCTGTCCTCCCCCCGACATCGACCGCCTAGTCCTTCGATACAGAAGTGCCCGATGCTGGACACACAGCCTAAACCTCCGCTGCAAGGGGACGATAACCCCAAGGAGGTGTTGTCGACACTGATCCTCAAGTCGGCGTCGGATTCCTCAGACAATGACTCAGACAGGGAACCTTCTGAGGTAGATAGCTCCCCTGAAGGCCCTTCACCAAAACCAACAGTATTGGTTTTGGTGAAGTGTTCTTTGAGGGAGTGAACAAACATGTGGACAGGGGGGACCCAATAGATGTTGTTTACCTTGACTTCAGAAAGCTTTTGATAAAGTTCCTCATCAAAGGCTCCTAAGTAAGCTCAGTAGTCACGGGATAAAAGGACAAGTCCTTTTGTGGATCAAAAACTGGATGATTAATAGGAAACAGAGAGTGAGTATAAATGGGCAATTTTCTCAGTGGAGGGTGGTAAGCAGTGGGGCACCGCAGGGATCAGTACTCGGTCCGATGCTTTTTAACTTGTTTATTATTTGGAGTTGTTTATTATTTGGAGTTGGGAGTAAGCAGTGAAGTGGCTAAATTTGCAGATGACACAAAGTTGTTCATGGTGGTGAGAACCAGGGAGGATTGTGAGGCACTCCGAAGGGATCTGTCGAGGATAGGCGAGTGAGCGTCAACGTGGCAAATGGGGTTCAATGTGGCCAAGTGCAAAGTGATGCACATTGGAGCCAAAATTCCTAACTATAAATACACGTTGATGGGGTCTGAACTGGCAGAGACTGACCAAGAGAGAGATCTTGTCGTCGTAGTAGGTAACTCAATGAAAATGTCGAGACAGTGTGTAGGAGGGCATCTAGTGTCCTAGCCCCACTGATGGACCTCCTGATGGTATCTGGTATTTTTGGCCACTGTGTGACAGAGTGTTGGACTAGAT